AATCAGCCTGCTTCCCCACCTCATTCTCTGAATTTCCCATCTTGAGATCCCCATAAAGGTAAATGGTTAAATGTTAGTCAAGGGCTGTGTTCTTATAAAGCTGTCGCGATAAGGTCAGACGGGAGAGGACACCCAGAGCCAGTGTATTTGGTCCGGTCCTTTAAAGGACTATGACCAGCCACAAGGAAGACCAAGACACTTGGTCTTAGAAGAGTTTAAAGGAGGGAAGGTAAAGGGAGAAAGGAGGAACCGATCACAATGATCTACTATAACCCTCCCAGGGGATGGACAACAGAAAAGTGGGTGAAGGGAGACATCAGTCAGTATAAGACATGAAAAAGTAATAATAATTTACAAATTATCAAGGGTTCATGAGGGAGGGGGAGAGGGGAAAAAATAAGGAGCTGATACAAGGGCTCAAGTAGAAAGAAAATGCTTTGAAAATGATGATGGCAACAAATGTACAAAGGTGCTTGACACGATGGAGGGATGAATTGTGATAAGAGTTGTACGAGCCCCCAATAAAATGATTTGGGAAAAAAAAAGTTTATAGGCGTCTGTCTTGACGAGGTGTGTCTTGTGAAGGAGATGGTTTCCTGCCTTAAGGCCTTAGAGAGGGGCCGCACTCCCTGGCTGGCTTGGTGGGAGGAGGCATCCCTGCTCTAATTGCACGCCCTCCCCCCCAGCACTTTCTTGTCACCTCGTGTCATGGTCTTCCCCAGGATAATCTCCCAGCTCACGACCCAGTTCCTTATAAACCTCACCTGTCCTGGGGACTTGGGTTCTATGTCCAAATCTCCTGCCACTCACAAATCCGTGTCCTTTGTCCGGTAGACTTGCTGCTTGTGTTCGCTTGAGTTCTTGGGCAAAAAGGTGCCCGGGGTTGAGTGCAGCATGAAAAGCTGAGGTCACACCCTCTGTTGTTGAGAACGATGTGGGTTAGATGGTCACCGGACTCCTGGCTCTGAAATCCTAATTGAATGCAATAAGATAAGCCAAGTGGGTCTTTATCAGAAGTATTTGCAACATGCTCTTCTCCCCATTTCCTCTGATTCTCTTGACACAACACCACCTTGGAGAACAGCTCCTCCCAGAGGAGTGAGGAGTTTCCCTGTGGAAGTCAACCTCACTCTTAGCTCCTCTGAAGCCCCCTGGGGATGCCCTGGGGCACCAGGAGGTGGGTATGGATTATGGAATGTGGAAACTGAGGTGGAAATGAGGGCTAAGAACTTGAGGCATTTTATTTGTGCCTTTATTAAATATTCATTGTATACTTACTGTATGATTAAAACAAAAACAAACAAAAAAACACCTCAGAATTCACTGCCACTGAGTTAATTCTAACTCATTAGGGCCGTATTGGCCAGAGAATTGCCCCTGTGGGTTTCTGAGACTCTAACTCAGTGGTTCTCAACCTTCCTAATGCCAAGACGCTTTAATACAGCGCCTCACGTGGTGGTGACCCCCAACCATAACATTAGTTCCGTTGCTACTTCGTATCTGTAAGTTTGCTACTGTTATGAATTGTCATGAAATATCTGATAGGCAGGATGTATTTTCATTGTTACACATTGAACCTAGGTAAAGCATAGTGATCATAAAAACAATATGTGATTCTATATTGTGAAATATTTATTTCTAATGGCAAATCAATGAAATGTTGTCTTGAAGCATGGTGTAGCATGGGTAACAGTCTTCACGCAGGGTACTCATAGGTGGGCGTATCTGCATGTGGGCGGACCCGCCTGGAGACGGACAGAGGAGCGGTGTCTCAGTTCCTAAGACCATCGGAAATATGGGTCGCGCCCACAGGTGAGCACCGCTGCATAAGGTTTCTGGAACGCAGGTGTTCCGGGAGCAGAGGACCTCTGCTCTCCTGTGGAGCAGCTGCTGGGTTAGCAGTCCAGAGCTTCCTGCAGCACCAGGGGGCTCTACTGGGCGACACCTCACCTGTTAAACCGCACCCGCGCCGTCCAGTCAATTCCGATTCTTCGTGACCCTACTGTGCAGAGTGAGGCTGCCCTTTGGGGCTTTCCAGACCTTACAGAGAACGCCAGCCCCGTCTTCCTCCTCGAGAGACGCTGGTGGCTCCACCTGCTGAAAACCAGCACCCTGTCCCATTGCCTTCGTCCATTCTGACCCCGAAGAGGGTCAGAGAGCCTGTCTGTTCTCCCCAGTTGGGTTTGAATGGACCACCTTGGGTTAGCCGTCCCGCGCTTCCCCGCAGCACGCCCATTAGGGCTCCTCAGACACCTGTTAGGATGGCCCCGGGTTCAGGACTGACAGCCGCCCCTTGCTGCCGAGGGTGGAAGGGCAGCCTTGGTGCACTGCTGGGGATGGGGGGATGCACAGTGCTGCGGTCACTCTGAAAAGGATGGTTGTTGTCTCTTGTTCCCATTGTGCATTTCGTGTGCGTTGGACGGAGGCTGACAGAGCACATCACCGGCATCACGGCCGGCCGGTCCTGCGCATTGTTTCAGCTCCTCCGTCGCATTGCGTTCCCCTCTCGATGCCGTGTCTTCTGTTGCAGGCCCTCGGTCTTGCCTCGCCTCTCGGAATGTTGCCCTTTGGCCTAGAACGGGTGCTTATGCTAAAGGCGTGTGCTTCCCCATGTGGCTGTGCCCTTAGACTTGTCCGGTATTGGCTGAAAACGGAACCCCGGGTGTGCGTTCAGATCCAGACCTGCAAGGTGACCAAGGGCCACAGGCCCAAGGGTCCCTCCCGCCAGTCTCTATCCGATCCGATCCGGGTGCCTGGCCCCTTTTAGGATGTTTGGTTTTTGCTCCGCCTTTCTGTTTCCCCTGCTCTATCCGGGGCCTTCTAATGGGATCCCGGCTAGCAAGGTTGGCAGCGGTAGCCGGGCACCCTAAGGTGCTGGCTTGGCAGCTTCTTCTAAAGTTAAGTATAATTTTGCTGGATGACCCAGCACCCCACTCCTGCTTCTCTACGCCAGAGAAGTCAAACCTCTTCCCGTGATCCACCCCGAGGGACTCGCGCTCATAGCAGTGGATTTATGAGCGCTCAAAGCGAGGTAAACCCAGGTGCCCATCCGCTGATGCATGCGGGGGAAGAATATTGTTTCATAGAAAGGGGAAGAACGGACGCCACGCAGCCGCATCGGTGCCCCTCCAAGAGAGTCGGGTGACGAAGCCAGACACCGAGGTGGACGGGACAGAGCACCTGCACAGGGAGCTTCCTGGAGTGTTCAGGGTTCTTTGTCTTGAAGCTGGCCTTGATTAGTGGAAAGACCCAATACCGTCGCTGAAAGCATGTCCTACTGAACACTGTTAGGAGGTGACTCCCCGTGGTGATTCTGCCGTGGTAAACACAACTAAAAAGAGAGGAGGAGGGCCGATATCCTGAGGGGAGGGGGAGGGCCAGGGAGGGCAAAGGGGGAACCCGTCACAAGATTGGGTAGGTAGCTGCCCCCCACACACCAAAGGGGGCAAATAACAGAAATGTGGGTGAAGGGAGACAACGGACCGTGTAAGATATGAAATAATGATAACAGTATATAACTGATGAAGGATTCACGAGGGAGGGGGGGGAAAGAGGAGCTGATACCAAGGGCTCAAGTAGAAAGAAAATGTTTTGGAAATGATGATGGCAACCTATGTACAAATGTGCCTGATACGATTGATGTATGGAATGTTATAAGAGCTGTAAGAGCCCCAGTCAAATGATTTAAAGAGAGAGAGAGAGAGAGAAGGGTTTACGTAGACCCCAGTTGTTGCAGTCAGGCTCAGGAAGGTGCCATCCGATCGCTGTAATTCCTAGGGCTCTCCCGAGCACGTGCTGGCCGTGGAGATGAGGTCCATGCTCCTGTACCAATCAGATGCCGACGCCCACCCCCCACGCCAGTGCCCACACCTCCATACGTCTGTCTTCCAGCCCCGGCAGGACATGCCCCAGCTAGCTCCGAATGGGCCACAGCCCTGTGTGTGACCAACCCATTCACCTCGCCAATTTCCCATCACGGGGGCTGAGCTTTGTGCCCCCTTCGGCCCACCTGTTGGGAGCAAGGGGTACGCCTGCCTCTGCCCGCTGGTGCCACGGCAGCCTCGTGGCGGCCCCTGAAAGGGACGTGGGGGACCTCTCATTGCAGTGCTCCTCACGTGGATCAACTGCGCCAGTGTGCGATGGGCCACCCGGGTGCAGGACATCTTCACCGCCGGGAAGCTGCTAGCCCTGGCCCTGATCATCGTCATGGGCATCGTGCAGATCTGCAAAGGTGAGTGCCATCCCAGCAGCAGCCGGCCTGCGCCACAGAGCGGGGAGGAAATCGATCGTGGGCAGGGGTCCACCGTCCTCCCGTGCTCACCTCGGGGCTCCCTGGGCACCCCTTCTGCCCCAGTCCCAGCACAGCCCCTGCCTGGGATGTGATATCTTTGGCCACACTTTGAAATTGGGGACAGAAGAGCAGAATTTCATCCGTTTCAAAATGACTCATGAGCTCGACAAGAGAGCCCAGCATTCCAGGGCCCCTGCCAACATTCCCCACCGGATTTGGTCCTTCCCAAGCCGGCGTCTGTGTTTGGTTTCCATGGGACCCCTGGCGCCGGAGAGTCACATGACCAGTCACATGCCCTGAAGGCAGTGAGGGGTGCCTGGATTTTAACCCCAGGAAGCCTCATTCCGTTTCTGCTACGTGTTTGTGGGGGTGGGGGGGCGCCAGTAGGGAAACACTTCAGAAAGTTCAGGAAGAGCTACCAGGATTGTTTCATCTTGTGTGTCCGTAACGTCTCCCTCCGGTGATAGCGATGGTCATTACAGCGCAGCCGGCTGAAGCGCTTTGGCGGGCTAGCATGTCCTTCGAAGAACGCCGCCGCCGCCACCATGGTGTCTTTTCAAAGGCTTTGAACCCTCCTCCTGCACTCTCAGTTCCTTCACTGAGCCGCTCGTGCCCGGCCGGATCCTGAGTGACAGACAAGGAAGTTCAGTCACCCTGGGTCTCATGACCCCCACAGTCGCTCAGCAGCCTCTCTGGAGGGCTCTCTCTGGACAGGTCAGGGGGGTGGGGGACAAGAGATTCCATCTCGGTAATTCAGATGAGAGAGGAGACTTCCGGGCCAGCAAATGGGTGGTCCTAGAGAGGAGCAACCGGGAAAGGAGGTGAGAGTGGGTATAGGGCTCAGAGGGTGTCACTGGGGTCACCGAGTTCTACAACAAGGGAGGGGGGGAAACCAATACTAAATTCACTATTTACCAAGGAACCTCTATTCTCGGGGACTCTCTCCCCCTGGAGTGGGGAGTGCAAAGAGATAGGAAGATACTGTCCAAGAAAGAAAGACAACCGTAGCTGGCAGGAAGCGTGGAGGCGTACGTTCACCTGTGGGCGGCCCTCGATTCTTTCCCATGAAAAGGTGCCAGCTTTGCCCTCACGGACTGGTCAGGAGGCTGCTGGCGACCCCCGGGCTGCGTCTCCTCCCCAAGGGAGCAAGCTCCCTCCCTCTCCAGCCTCCAGACTGTCCGGCTCCTCCTGAGCCCTCCCCTGGCCTTGCTCCCCAGGAACGTCTCCTTCGGAAACAGGGCCTTGTTAAGCATGTTCTGGAAGGTTCTGGACCCATGTTCCCCCGGTGTGTTCAGCTGGGCTGCCCGGACCTCTGATTCGCCTCTCAGAGCAGCCCTTGCCCCTGTGTCCGCAGGAAAGTACTTCTGGCTGGAGCCAAAGAATGCCTTTGAGAATTTCCAGGAGCCCGACATAGGCCTGGTGGCCCTGGCTTTCCTCCAGGGCTCCTTTGCCTACGGAGGCTGGAATTTCCTCAACTACGTGACCGAGGAGCTTGTGGACCCCCACAAGTGAGTTGAAACAGCCCAGCCCTCCCCTTGAGTTCCCCGGGAAGGACTTAGCACCTGCTGTTGAAAAGGCAGAGCCCGATAGATGCCCACGGCCCACTTCTCCCCGGGTTCCACCCCGTCCTCTCTCCTGCCCGTGATCTGGTTGGTCCTGAAGAAACCGTGTTATTTCCAGAGAACAGTGATCTGGTGACTGTCACAGGCAGGCAGGGCAGGCCCAGAACTGGAAACGATGCTGAGATGACCCCACTGCCTCAGAGAATGGCACGTGCTTCTCTCTTACTCACCTGTCTTGCCGCACGCCGCTCTTTGGGTCTTGCGACAGGGAAGAGCGGCATGGTGGAGATGCAGATCAAAGTGGGGGAGGGACGGGACGCCAGGCTTTCTGTTCAGCCTGAGTGGTTTAGCTTCCTTCCAATTGCCCTGCCCGCATTGAGACAAAACACACTTCCCGGGGAAAGGGACCGTCACCCAAGACTGTAAGAAAGACAGAAGGGGTGTCCAAGGCTCCAGGTGGTCCCTGGGTGCCATGCCTCCCCCTCTCGCCTCCTCTTCTTCCTCTGCAGGAACCTGCCCAGAGCCATCTACATCTCGGTCCCGCTGGTCACGTTCGTGTATGTCTTCGCCAATATTGCTTACGTCACCGCAATGTCCCCTCAGGAGCTGCTGGCGTCCAACGCAGTTGCAGTGGTAAGAAACCACACCCCCGGCCTCTCCATGCGGGAATGTTGACATAGGCTTGCTTACATCATAGCCTTACTTACTTTTCCTTGCTACATGACCTTGTGAAATTGGAAGTCATCCTGATTTCCAGACCAGAAACCACATCCTTCCCTCACTGGGGAGCCTGCACATTACAGGAGCAAGCTGGTGGCTGGTTCGACCGAGAGCCGTTCTAAGAGCCGAACTGAGTGGTCGTGACAGGGCCCACAGCGCTGGGAATACGCCCCATGAATCAGGATTCCTCCTTACTGTACACATGAGCACGTGGAGACTCCGAGAGCCTGGCCTTCTTTGCTCAAAGGCTCTCGCTCCTTCGTGGAGGGGCTAGGAATTGACCCCGGTCTCGGATTCACAGGCCTGTCTCCCTCACTGTGCTGCAGAACAAGGGAAATGGGTGCGAGGCCCGGACACACACCACCTGGGTCCCCCTCCGCCTCTCCGCATTCTGCATGTGCGGCCCTAGTTTCCCTAAAGCAGGGATAATAAGCATTTCTTCTTACTGTTACTGCCCTACATTTGGTCTCTTTTAGGAAGGGACCTGGTGGTGTAGTGGTGACTGGTTGGGCTCAAGGTCAGCAAGGTCAGCAATTGGAAACCACCGGCCACTTTTCGGGAGCCAGGCTGGGCTTTCTACCCTCTTAAAAAAGAGTTCTAGTCTGGAAGGCAGCGCTCGCTGAACTTCAGAGAAGGCTCAATGGGCAAAGCCCATCTTCCCGAGTTGAAAACCTTTTATGGACAAGACGTTATCGTGGGAATGAAATGGGAGCAGGCGTGTCCACAGGCGGCCTCGGGGATTTGGTCTTGTGATAGAGGAGCGTGTGGGAATGGCAGCTAGCGGACAACAGAATAATCGTGGGATGGTGGCAACAGTGTCACCATGGTGAGAAGCCTGGGAGCAAGTGTAAGAGATGACAGAGACACCAATGGCTTCCACGTGCCCCCTCTCCCAAGGACCGGCTTTAGCACAGTGAAAAATGAGGCTGGACGTTTTTCACATTAATTTTTTTTTTTTGTTAAATAAACTTTGTAATAGTTTTTTTTAAAAAGAGCTCTAGTCTCGGAAACTCATAGGGGCAGTTCTACCTGCCCTGTGGGGTCGCTGTGTGTGCAGTGTCCACTCAATGGCAATGAGTTTGGAGTGTGGAGCCCCAAACGGTCCCAGAACCCCCGCTGTGTAGCTGCCACATGGAAGGTGGTGGGACCCCAGGACCCCAGTCTCTCCTCTCAAGGAGCTTAGAGAGAGTGTGGGCGTGGAGACGGACAGTGCATGGGAGGCTGAGGGGTGGGGCCCCACGGCAGGCTGCAGGGGGCCAGTTGACACTTCAGCCCTTGCTTGACGGAGGGAGGGAGGTGCGCTCTGCCGGACTTGTGACCTCTTCTCTCCCCTCTCCTCTTGCCTCCCTGCCCAGACGTTTGGCGAGAAGCTCCTGGGCGTCATGGCCTGGATCATGCCCATCTCGGTGGCCCTGTCCACGTTTGGAGGCGTCAACGGGTCTCTCTTCACCTCGTCCCGGTGAGCTGCCCGTCGCTGCCCCGGCCAGGGCCCCCTCTGCTGTCCACATTGCTCTGTCTCTGTGTGGGGGCTGTCTCTGTCAGCAGGGGTCTGTGTGGGCATCTGGGGGCGGCCTAGTAGAGGGAGCGGTGTGTGCTCACGTGCGGTGTGGCCGTGCCAGTGTGGATGGGCTGACGATGTGTGGACCATGCAGGCACATAGCAAACAGGCCCCCGACTGTGCACCCCGCAGTCCGACAGAGCCTTGGCTGCTCTCCAAGCGTCCCCCTCCCCACCCTCCTGCCAGCGACTGCTGCTGGCTAGACAGGAACCCTGCTCCAAGAGGGGCCTGGTGGAGACTTGCCTGGGGCCTCCGGGTCTGATCTCTCTTGGGTGGGGAAGTCATGGGACTGGACTGCAGGTGACTGCCACCTGTGCCCTTGGGGCTACAGGCCTCCTCCCTGCACAGCACAGAGTCAGCTGTGGGCAGCCTTTGCAGGCCTACCTGAGGCAGGCCAGGCGGAGCGTGTGAAGCAAACGGGGCGGGGGTGGGAGGGGCAAAAGCAGAAAGAGCCCTTCCCCAGAGAAAGAGCCTGTTGTTCAGCCACAACTGCTCCCTATACTTTCTGGGGACCCAGAGGCACGGATGAGCCCACGAGTCCCCAGCTCCTGCCTCCACAGACCCCGGAATCTGGGTTCTCATTGACATCCGTCCACCCCTTCGCTGCCTCTCGTGTCTTGAGCTTGATCGAACGTGAGACAAGACCCGCCTGAGTCGCTGAGGTCCACAGATGCTGCAGGATTCCCGGGTGTGGGCCGCCGAGGGGTCCGGGAAAGATCCCCCACCCTTCCCAGGACAGTCCCACCCTAAGAGATGGGGACAGCAGAGCGTCCTGTCCCCTCAGGGAGGAGTTGCAGTGTGGTGACCGTGGAGTCCGGGTACAGGACGAGGAAGTGAGAACTCAGGTGTCTCCGCCCCCGGGACCCTCCGGTGCTCACCCCGGGCAACCTCGTGTGCAGGTTACATAGGAGCAGCGGCCGCTGGAGACCCCAGCCGAGGGCGCGTGTAGAAGACAGTGACCCCCACGAGGCTCCCTGGGAAGCGTTGGAGGAGAGCGACTGGCTCCAGTCGCTTCAGTGGGGTTTGTCCCTCAGGCAGACCACGCAGGGTCTGCGTGCATGGGTGCAAGGCGTTTGCATGCGGGGGACCGGTGCATGGTGTGCCCGCCACACCCAGCCAGGCCTCCTCGTGTCATCTCCCAGTCTCTCCCTCTGTCCCCCTCTCACTCTCTGTGCTTGGGGAGAGGATGACCTGTCCTGAGATGTAGGAGTGTGTGTGGGGTGTGTGTCTTGCTTAATGTCGTCGTCTCTTCTGTTGTCTGCTCGTCAGACGACCAACTCTGGTGAACCTCGACACTTGCAAATGTCACTGGGCCCGACGGTGCCGCTGGGCCCGGGCTGCACGGGGAGGGATGTGCCTGTGGGCCCGGGCTGTGTGCATGAGATCAGGGGGACGGTGGGGGGGCCTCAGTGTGGCACATGAGGCGGCGTTGTAGCATGGGGTAAAGGCACCGGCACAGAGGCTGCCTGCATGTCTGCACAAGGCTCGTGGCCACGGGCCAGGTCGTTGACGGCAAATGCACGTGAGTCCTTGGGGCTGCAATCAGCCACTCCACTCCTGACAAGTTGCCGCTGCCAGCTCCCTCGCCCACAGGTACAGATCACAGGCTGCGCTGAGTCTTCCCAGCACACCGAGGCTGGCTTTTCTCTGTGCCCCTTACCACCCCCTGCTGCTCATTTCTCTGTGCTGCTTCCTCTACAAAATCCTGGGGGTGGGGGTGCGGGGTCTCAAAAGTATCTCATTTTGACTCAGGTGTAAGGACTATCCCAGTTTCGGGAATCTTCTTTTCTCTGGAAGAGGCCAGGAAGGAAGGGCTGCTCTCTTGTTAAAAGTGCCGCTTTCTTTGGATGTAGACGGAATGCCGGCGATGCCGTGCTGTACTAGCCTTGAAAATAGAGGAAAACCCATCCAGGGGATCTAGGCCACCACCTCCACACCCCGTATGACTTCTTTCTGAACTTTTCAAGTTGTTCATTTTTGAAAAACTATTTTTGCATCAATGGTAAATGTCCCGTCTGTTTTAAAATCTCCCTTTTTTGAGGGGGGGCCATGAAGCGTCAGGGAGGAAATGGGGGTTGTTCGTACGCCCCCCTCCAGAGATGATCCGTGTCAGTGTGTTCACGGGCGGCTGCACAAGGGGCTGAATCGCAGCGCACGGACATTCCGTTGTCTCCGCTGCTGCTCGCCACGGGCATGTTCCCCGGCAGCCACGTGGCTTTCAAAATCGTGACCACGGACCGAAATGCAGACCTGCCCTCAGTAACGCCATCAAGACCCTACTTTGGGGCATTTGGGTTTCCTTCCTTCCCACCTTTCCAAGTACATCTTTGACCAACTCTGTTCATTTCTTTTTTTATTGTTATTATTACTAAAAGATCATTTTACTGGGGGTTCTTACAACTCTCATAACATCCGTTGTATCAGGCATGTTTGCACACGGGCTGCCACCGTTCTTCTCTGGACATTTACTTTCCATTTGAGCCCTTGCCATATTCAGTCCTGAAGGGCGCCTTCCTGGGAGTAGAATAAGCAGCTCGAAGGATATCGAATGTTAGGCAGCATGTACATGGAATGCATAGTTCTTAAGTGTTTGGTTTGATGAATGTGGGTGCTTCTAGACACCCATCGCCCCAAACAAGACCAAGAACATATGCGCATGTCCCCTAAGTTCCTTCATGCCCACACCTCCGTGGCCGCAGCCGCTTCTGTTTGGAAGATGAGTGTTGTTAGGACCATCACGATGCAGAGCTCACCCTCCCAGCACTTCAGGCACCGTGTCCCTGCAGGCAGTGCAGAGGACACACTTTAGAACCTAGAGGAACCACCCAGACAGGGCCCTGCGGGCACCGGGAGCCACATACACAGCGACTGGCGGACCCCGAGCCGTCCAGATCCAGGGGTCTTGCCCGGGGCTCTGTGCCCAAGAGCCCTCCACCTGCCCAGTGGCTGCTTTGGGTTTGCCTGCACCTGCCTTTGTGAATGTGGCTCCTGTGGCTAGTTGGCTGGGCCCTGTGCATGTGAAAGGGGATGGAAGGGGTGGGGGAGGTCCTGGGTAAGGGTGGGCCAGAAGGTGGGCATGCCTGGGTGGTCCCAAGCTGACCTGCCTCTCTCTCTGCCAGGCTGTTCTTCGCTGGAGCCAGGGAGGGCCACCTTCCCAGCCTGCTGGCCATGATCCATGTGAAGCGTTGCACCCCAATCCCAGCCCTGCTCTTCACAGTAAGAGCCCCTCCCTTTACCGGACCTGTGCTGAGCTGGGAGCGCACACTTCCCACCTATGCCCCCGTCACCCTCCTAGTCTGCTGTTAGGTGTCACTGGGGCTTCGATACAACGGCAGATGGCACACGTGGGCTTTACAGATGTCACGTGTTAACATACGTGGCTGCTAATGAGAAAGGTTGGGGATTTGCGTCCACCCAGAGCCACCTCACAAGGGCTCCATTCTGCTCCAACACACGGCATCACCATGCGTCAGAAGCGACAACTGGTTTGGGGTTGTCTTTTTTTTTAATCAAGAAACAAGCCTGCGTCCTGAAAGACCGCAAGGCTTTCGGTCCATCTCATGGCCCTTCCTCCCACCCTACCGGCTCCGCTGCGAGCACTGCCTCCCCTAGAAGCTTCTCTTCCCCAGGGGTCTCGTCACCGCCTCTTGGCCGCCTCAGGCCCCAGCTCCGGGGACACCCGATGGGGAACATCAGTTGAAAGAAAGATCACCATTAACCTGAGAAAAGAGGGAGAAGGCAGTGTGGGGTGGGGAGGGCCAGGAAAAAACAAAACAGCTCACGGGACCCGAGAGAAGACTTTTTCCGGGAGAGCTAGAGGAAGGGCGCAGAGACCTGTCCTCCTCATTGCATCTTTCGGCTCTGTCTGTCTGTCTGTGTCCGGGTCCTGGGCGGAAACAGGGCAAGTTCCTCTGGTCCACGGGAGAAGCAGTTAGAGTCAAGACACGCATGGTACAACACTGGGGGGGTGTCAGTGCAGCAGCAGTCTGGCCTGCTCGCCCCTTAAGGAGAAATAAATTAACCTGAGTGACAATCAAGGAGGAGAAATGTAGGGAGCCCATTGAGCCACTGGCTCCAGGACCAATCCAATTGTTTACGGCCAGCATCCATTCTGATTAGCTAGTGCCCATGCCAGGCCGTACCAGTGGGTAGATGCTTGTTCCCCACCCCCTACGATAAGAAAGCACTTGTTGCCAAGGAAGGTGCCGGCGAAGGCCTGGGCGGCTAGGGACGCGTGGGAGTGTCCCTTCTGAGGACACCATTGTGGAACGCCCTGGTCGGGCTGGAGGCAGGAGAGTGTCTCACCTGATCAGGTGGAGTGAACCCCTCCTCTAGTCTCTGCACACCTTTCCCATCCCTGACAAACCTCTCCCCTCCCCCAGTGCTTGTCCACCCTGCTGATGCTGGTCACCAGCGACATATACACGCTCATCAACTACGTGGGCTTCATCAACTACCTCTTCTACGGCGTCACAATCGCTGGACAGATCGTCCTGCGCTGGAAGAAGCCTGACATTCCCCGCCCGATCAAGGTGAGAGCCTCCCTCTGCGCTCCCCTCCTCCTCCTGCTGCTTCCTGCCCCTCCGCCCCTCCTCTCCGCCTCCTGATTGTTTCAGCCACCAACAGGAGCCCTGGTGGCATAGTGATTACACATCGGGCTGAGATCTGAAAGGTCAGCAGTTTAAACACACCAGCTGCTCTGCTGGAGAAAGATAAGGTTTTCTACTCCCGGAAGCAATTACAGTCTCAGAAGCCCACCCTCTCCTATAGGGTCACTATGAGTCACTATTGGGGTTTTCTGGGGGGTCTGCTCTTTTTTATTAATAATTTTATGAGGGGCTCTTATAAATCTTTTTTTTCTTGGCAACTCTTATATAACAATCCATCATTCAATTGTATGAAGCACTCTTGTACAGATGTTGCCATCAACATTTCCAAAACGTTTTTGTACTTGAGCCCTTGGTATCAGCTCCTCTTTCCCCCCCTCCCTCCCCCACCTTCCCACCCTCGTGAATCGTTGATCAATGGTACATTGTTGCTATTTGGTGTCTTACACTGTCCAGTTGTCTCCCTTCACCCACCTGTCTGTGGTTCGTCCCCCGATGGGTCTGCTCTTGCTGCTGGGAAGCAAGGGACATGTGTGAACGGGGCAGCCATGTGTCTGTTCTCCACTGAGCATCAAAATCCAAAATCCAGTCGATGCCGGCTCATCTCGACCCACGAGGGCAGCGTCGAACTGCCCCCGTGAGCTTCCGAGACTGGTTCTGTGTGGGAGTAGACAGCCTCGTCTCTCTCACTGGGGACACCCACAGAGGAAACTGCATCCGGGGAGCGAAGGCAGATTGAACTCCACTTTCATCGTGTCCTGCACGCTATGTCTTGAACCCCAGCTGATTTCTTCAAGGTTTCTGATCTCACCAACACTTTCCTGGGCCCTCCAGTCTGCTCAGTGCCTGTCCTGTTCCTCCGGAGGACTGAATTCACGTGCGCTGTCTATTCAAGAATGAGAGTCCTCCTTCCCTCGGCCTACCCAAGTTCTAGCCATTTCCCAGGGGATGTTTTCCAGTACACTCAGCCCTGCCTGGCCTCTGTCCCGCTGATAAATTACTGTGGGGCCCTGGTAGCACAGTGGTTCTCCGGAGAGGTCAACGGTTCAAAACCACCAGCCAGCCGCTCCTCGGGAGAAAGATGCGACTGCTTACTCCCTTGGAGTCCCAGCCTTGGAAACCCAGAGGGGCAGTTCGACCCTGCCCTACCGGGGGGCTGTGAGTCCACACCGACTCGATGGCAGCGAGTTTGGTCTTTGGGGTCTGGGTGGCCCTACACCGAGTAAAGCGCCCAGTGAACCTATCAGTTGCCAATAGGAACCTATAGGTCGCTCTGGGATAGGAATGGGTGGAAAAGTCTAGAACAAAACCTGCTGGAGTGCTACAAGTTCTCCTGCAAGTTCATAGAGTAGCCCCGAGCCGATGTGAACAATCCTGTTCCGGAAACACGGGAGATTAGATGCTTCTAGAACATTCCTCCAATTTAGGGATTAAGGGCTCTCCAAACCTTGCAGCCGGTTGCCCCGTCATCCCCACCACCACTTTTACACGTGCTTGAGGGAAGAGGTGGGAGAATCACCCCCCTCCCCACCTCATGCACACCATTTAAATCATCCCCCACTCCCCACCACCCTGTGAGAGGGGAGGATGAGGGGTCGAAAACAGGACCCGAGCAAGTCTCCAGCCGTGGCTGATGCCAGGGACGGCTGCTGCTTTGGGAGGTGCCCTCAGGGCCAGGGATGCCTTGTCCGGTGCTGGGTCTCTGGATCTCTTGGGTCCTGGCAGGCTTGTCTTCTGCCCTTGTTTGGAAGGATGTACTGGGGCTGGTCCGAGGTAAGGGCCCGGACCTTCCTTCCCCGTGCCTGGAGGTGAGGGAGCGGCAGGGTGTCTGCTTGCCCTTAGGAATGTCTCAACTCCACCTGGGGACCTCGGCGAGTGCATGCCCACGTCACCCAGTGCCCACGGGCTTCTTGACTGCCCAGGCTCAGGCATGGGTAATGAGGCCCTGTCTCACCCTGTCCTGGAGGGGGTAGATGAACAGCGGGGGTTGTTCCCTCCCTGACCCCTGACCCCTCTTTCTTCTCACCAAAATTTGTCCACCTGGAACCTGCCGCCTCGGGGCCTGGGGCAGGGGAGTCTCCGGACAGAGTGGAGCCTGCCTTGTGCCTGCACGGGGCAGGGGAAGGAGGGTGCCCTGCTCCTGCATCACGCACGGGGTCCCACCCGCTCATGGCGCCTCTGTCCCCACCACAGATCAACCTGATCTTCCCCGTTATCTACTTGCTGTTCTGGGCCTTCCTGCTGATCTTCAGCTTGTGGTCGGAGCCCGTGGTGTGTGGCATCGGCCTGGCCATCATGCTGACAGGCGTGCCCGTCTACTTTCTGGGTGTTTACTGGCAACAGAAGCCCAAGTGTTTAACTGGTTTCATTGGTAAGTCGTTGAAGGTTCTGGGTGGCCAGAGGGGCTCTGAGTCTGGGATCAAGAGTGATTCATGGTCTTTGGGGGTGAGGTGGGGCCAGGATTAGGAGCTCCAGCTTCATCTTGATCTGGGTGATCCAAAGAAAGGCAGGCACCCTCCCAGAGATCTCTGAGAAGAGAGGAGCTGGCCCTTCCACGTGAGACTTGAACCTCTGCAGGAGCTGCCCCGGGCTGGGTGGAGGCCAGTATAGCCTAGGATTCAGCCGTTAATGGATGTGGGGGGTGTGGAAGATGGGGGCCTTGGTGAGCATGGGGCAGCCTGCAGAAGCCGACTTCCCAGAAGATGCAAGAGGCAGGGGAGGTGGCCAACCCCTGGAGAGGGAGTCCCCTTGTGTGCTGAGGTGAAGCCTCGGGGCAAGACAGAAGATGGGACAGGCCCTGGCCTGGCCGGTGAGGTTGGAGGGACACTCAGCCTTAAACTTGACCCAGGTCCCGTCTGTTCTCCTGCTGCAGAGTCCCTCACCCTGCTGAGCCAGAAGCTGTGTGTGGTCGTGTACCCCAAGATGGACGGGGACTCAACCTCGGAGGAGCTGAGTGAGGAGGCTCACGAGCTGCAGCAGCCCATGCGCCGCCGCCACGAGGAGCAGGGCTCACAGGGCCAGCTCTAGGCCCAAGGGACACCTCCCCACCCATCTGACTCTTCCCGCCTTGACCCTCTTTTCTGGCCTATTTCCTTGTCTGGGGCTCCCCCAACACACACACACATATGCCTGTCAAATCGGGGAAGGGCCTGGGTGTGGGTGGGGAGACATGGTAAAGACACTAACATTTGTACCCAAACAATCAGCCTCTCACCCCTAGGTCCCCACACCGGGGCTGCTCAGAGCTGTTAGAGGGCAGTGCCTGGACACTGACCCCCCAGTTGCCTTCTGGGGGAACCCAACTTCAGTGCTGCCTTTCTGTCCATTCCAAGGTCCAAGGGAAGGACTCCACTGAGAGGCCTGGCAGCTGGTACTGGGACCTAAGAAATCAGCGGGAACGCTGCCCTCTGTCCCCTGGCCCCCACCACCACCCCTGCCGGGACTCCCTATCCAGGGGAAGGTTCCTTTCAGGTTACCGCGTCCCCACTGAGCTAAGGACCAACCACCAGGAGAACTGTCCCGTTACACTCCCCCCACCCCCATCCGCTACCCGGGCCCTGGAACAGATTGGGAAAGCCTCAGCTCTCAGCATCCTGGCCCTGCCTCCTGCCTCCTGCCCCCAACTGGTGCCAAAGCTTCCTGAAGTCAGAAAGCGTCTCATTTTCCATGTCACCGACATGTCTCCCCTAGGACCGACACAATCGCTCAGCCCCTCCTCTCACCCACGCCCACAGGAAGGAGCGGTTGCCTTCTTATCCTGGCAGACACACCCCACACACACCCCAGAGTCTGCTGCCCCACCCATCCCCGCCCCGCCCTGTCTCCAGCCTGTGCCCTTTGCCTGCCCTGGATCTTGGCGCCAGGCCCGGGTGGGAAGGATCCCCAAGCCCTTCAGACACGACCTTGGAGCCAAATCAACCTGGGTCACCTGGAACTGGGCCCAAACGTTCAGCCTTTCTCCCAGCCCTCAAGACAGACCCGGGTATTACAAGCCTGCGAGGGCACCAGGGTGTGGGGCTGCTGCTTTCCCACCTTCTAGAGGTGCCCGGTCAATCACCTCAGAAACTCTGGGGGAAGAGTATTTTTGGAAGGCCATGTCCTCTCCCCATCCTCTCGTTCAAACCCCTCCCTCCCCATCTTTGGACAGTGTCCTTTGGCACAAGGGCACCCCTTTGGAGACCCTGAGAGGAACCCCTTGAGAAAGCCCCTCCCTCGGTCAGAAGCAGACACTCCGTTTCCCTGTGCTCCTGGGCCTGGCGGCCTCCCCACTCACTTCTTTCGTGCTAGGGACCCGGGGTCCTTTTGTCCCAAAGCAGGACACCCTTTGTCTGCCCACTGCATCTGCTGAACTGGAATACCCAGCACCCCCTTCCCCCTGGCCTGGATCTCCCAGCTGCCCTTCCACCTCTCCTGACCCATTGTTGGTGAGGCGCTGGCTTGGTCTGAGTGGACCCCAGCCAGGACATTCCTTCAGAGGGGACACCAGGCGGGCTGGGCTTGGGCCTGTAGGGTCTCGTTCCGGATCTCCTCATCCCTCCAACCCCCTCCTCTCCAATGATTGTTTTTTTTTTTGTAATATGGATGCCTTACTTTTTGGATAAATATTTTTAAAGCTAGTATTTCTATCTCCTTTGGGCGTTTGTTTTTAATGTAAGCTCGTTTGGGGGAGGTGGGGCTACTTAGGGTCTAGATAATGATCTCCTGTCTTTGGATTGGTTTTAGTGTTCTGTTTGGATTCCGAAGGATTTATTTTCCCTTTTGGTTTAATAAAATTTTTCATGAAAATGGAAGGAATTTGATGGTGTTTGTGTTAGGCCAGGTTGACGTACAGAAATAAATCCAGTGACACTCATATATGTGTAAGAAAGAGCTTTCTTATCAAGAAGTAATAATTTATGGAGAAAACATCCCGGTCCAACTCAAGTCCAAGTCCGATATTATCCATCAGTCCCGCTTCAGATTCAGGCAGCCACATGCAATGATGCAAACTGCAGGAAGATCCCAGGCTGGTGGGTGCAGTCTTGTGGATCCAATGGGGGTGGTTCTGACAGCCGTGAGGGTCATCCAGTAGGAAGATTGAAGGCAGAGAAGGGGTGAGGGGAAGGTTCCCAGGACGCTCCTTATGAGAAAGCCATGCCCACAAGGAGTCACCATCAGGCTGTGACCTGATTGACAGGCTAAACTCCACCCCTACACTTTCATGTATCTTCAAATTGACATGAAATTATTTAACTAGCACAGTGCTCATCACTACATGGCTTTCCGAGACATGGCCACCAGGCATGGTCTGTCTTAGGAGGTAGTTGGCTGCCAAGTTCCTTCAAGAATGGCGTTCCTAAAAAAAAAAAAAAAAGAATGGCATTCCTAAGACTCGCACCGTGATGTTGAGCAGCCCTGGGGAACTTGAGTGAGGATGGGTGTTCAGACAGCCTGTAGGGTCTCGTTCTTGCACCTTGAATCAAACACACTCCAAGCAGAGCCTCTGGGAGTTCCTGCTCCTTGCCCCCTGCTGAGCGCATGCAAAGAGTCGCTTGTCACCACCCAGGTGAGGATGTGGGACAAGGGAGCCACAGGACCCAACTGAACTGAGGGAGACCGGACAAAACCTGGCAAAGGAAGGGACAGACTGAGACTGGCAAGCTGGGCTGGGTCCTGGAGGCTTGGTGGGAGGGCCTTGAGGGGCATAAAGGTAAGGTGACCAGATGTCCCGCTTTGGGCGGGACAGTCCCAGTTTTTAACAATTTTTCCCGTGCCCCGTGGCATTTTCTAAAAGTCCCAATTTTTGGAAAGGATGCACAACAAGCTAGGGTACACGGTTTTCGGCTGCCATGTGGCTATTTCGCCAGGATATGAGTTTTATCAATGGTGTCCCGCTTTACCAATGTTAAAGTCTGGTCACCTTACATAAAGGTGAAGCATATGCCCGAGGAGGGGGGATGGTAAAGTGTTACTTGGCCCACGAGGAGCCCTGTTTCAAGACGGAAGAGCAGAAGGACCCTCAGACAAGGATAAGGGGAAGGAGGAAGTCCTTAAGGCAGGGACCAGGTGAGTACACCGCTGGGTGCTGTGGAACCAGAGCCCGCCATTCCTGCTGTGTTCCTCCCTTTGTGGCCTGCCCTGGGTGGGCATCCTTCGGGAAGCCAGACTGACAGACTGTGAAGATCACATGCACCATTGGGGGCTGTGAGGACTTAGGCAAGCAAGACCGCTCAGCTCCCCAGTCTTGGCCTGTCCCCAACACTCCTGCTTTGTGGCTGCCACTCGTTCAGACGGAAGCAGGGCGCCCTCCATCCACAGGGGCATCTGACTGGCAGGCCAGACAGGTGGTTGGTGCCTTGTTCCAGCTCAGCTGATGGGCAGCCGTGTGTCCTTGAACAAGTCCCTTCCCCGTTGAAGAGAGAGGGTTTCAAACAATCTCTGAACTTCTCAAAGTCCCAGTATCCCTTCATGTCATCTGCTCCTCCCAAGACTGACAGGCGCTAATCTGCTCCAAGCCTCATGCTCCCCTTTGGTAAGGTGACCAGATTTTAACATAGGTAAAGCGGGACAAAAGCGGGACACCATTGATAAAACTCATATCCTGGCGAAATAGCCACATGACAGCTGAAAACTATATACCCTAGCTTGTCGTGCATGCTTTCCAAAAATCAGGACTTTTTAAAAACGCCGCAGGACACAGGAAAAATTGTTAAAAATCGGGACTGTCCCACCAAAAGGGGGACGTCTGGTCACCTTACCCTTTGAGATCCCTTGTCCCCACACATCCTCCTTGGCCTGGACCCATAGAGGCCCCCTCCTGGCTGCCCCCTGCTGGCAAGGCCGGAAGCCCATTTGCAGGGAGCCCCTTCTGACTGTTGACAGTGTGTTGCAGACTGGAACTGCACTGCCCCCGGCTTTGGCGGCAGGCAACTTTCAGAAGCCATCGCCAGGGGGCCATCTACCCACCTTTCCATTAGTGTTTGAGAGCTTAGCCATTTTCACCACCAAGGGACGCCCTGACAAGCCAGCCCTCCACAGACACAAGTGTCCTGAGTGAGGAGGGAGGCCCTCTCCCTAAGGCAGATACATGCTAATCTTCTCAGCCTAGCCAAATGGGCAAATGTGACCCCTTGACAAGGAAATTATGTATTTTTTTCATCGTTTTATTAGGGGCTCATACAACTCTTATCACAATCCATACATACAGCAATTGTGTAAAGCACATTTGTACATTCATTGCCCTCATCATTCTCAAAACATTTGCTCTCTGAGTTAGTTAATTGTGCCAGCCTGGCTGATAATC